GGAAATTGCGAATAGCAATTTCCCGCTGTTTTTTCTGCCACTTTCCCGCAATTGCGATTCGGTCGTTCTGATCTTATTTTTGATGTTTTCAGTTGTCGCGAGAAAGTTGAGCATGACAGGCTCAATTCGAATTTTTTAAAAACTAAACTTCATCCCAAAACTACGTACTTCGTATCCTCAAGGTCAAACTTCCAGATATGACCGAATGGCTCACCCAAACCTCAATGTCGCTCCTAAAAACAGGGCTACTACATATTTATCAAAATACTTTTGTTTTTGTTCAGTAGATTAAAATTATCATCTCCATCGAAGATGGATCAACCTTTTCCCTTAACTCCTAGCTTCTCATAGTATTAAAACGAATTTAGAAGTTATTTATTCAAATCAGGACATGACCAGAAGCTAAAAATTCATAAAATAGAGTGTTTTGATAATTTTGATAATTTCTGGTCGAATGTCACATAAATTATTAACTTTGTTCATTCACACACACTCAATGTTTCGCCCAATCTTAACTAAATCCTAACCCCTCAAATTATCTGCCGAGCCGGCATCTATTTCCCGTTCTTTGGTAAAGATTTCTTTAAAAATTTCCTTTCTGAAACTATTCCTAAGTTCTCTTGCTGATCTGGGGATACCATTCCTCCTTGTATATAGCCCGATCAAGCACATTGTAATATACTTAACAACCGTTTAAGTGGCCGTGGAATTGAGTGCACAACATGCGCATACCTCAGGCATGCGAAATGCAGCGGCCTTAACCGAGGCAGCGACCATTATGACAGTTTCAGCTGCGTTTGCTGCCACCTCCTTGATTACAGACCACACTACATCTGACATCCATGTCCCTCCAACTCAACCTGAACAAACCCAATCGATCAACCATCAAAATCCTGCAATTACAAACGGCAACGAAACTGTAACAGCCACACCAAGCCCCTGGGCGAATCCTATATCTGAACTAAAAGTTCAAACAAGAACAATCTACACCCAAGTAGTGCACTGCAAACCAGTCTTCATGATCCTCGCAAGAAAAAAGAGTTGGGTTTAACTTTATAAAGACTCTAATTAGAACCCTCAACTCGTTAATTGAAACAAAGAAAAATACATACGCAATGCAGGCAGCAATGGAACAATGGTTTTCCCTCACCCCATGCTATAAAAACCAAATCGGAAAAGGATGGATTAAAATCCAAAACTATAGCGAGAAGGATTAAGCAATGGCATAAGGGCGAACTGGATGAATTTTTTAATGAGCTTGGTAAGGAATAAGAAAAAGAAAGTATACGTTGAAGCACATCAATTTAAAAATTTACGAGCACCGGAAAAATGTTGAGTGCTTTTGCTAAAATAACTGATGATACGTCCAAGGGTGTTTTCTCACTCGAGGAAACCGTCAAAGGTCAAACTGTTGAGCAAAAAATCATTGAAAAACATCTCTCACGGAACCAATAAACAACAACTCAGTAGCGGCATGCTCCGAAGATACAATACCTTTTCACCAATCCACATTCGACCAAATAAACGCCCAGAAGGATGGGAAGGCTACCATGTCAACACATGGTTCTCATGGACCCTCAGGCCTGGATGCGAATGAGCGGAGATGCATTTAACGCACCTTGAACAACAGTCATTTGAAATATCAAAGACACTAACCAAAACTGCACAAAAAATATCGACAGATTTGTTAAGTCCTGAGCTTTTTGAACCATATAATGACTAGTTTCACATGATAAAAACCCAGGAGTTAGGCCAGTTGTCATAGGCGAAGTCATCAGCAGAATAATAGGTAGAATGATAACAAAGTGCTTAAAAAGCGAACTTATGGTACTCGGATCGATTCACCAACTATGCCTTGGTAAAAATGTTGCATCGAATATGCAAATCATACGCTTAGGAAGCAACAAGAGAAAACAGGTTCCGATGCAGTATTACTGATAGATGCGGAAAATGCTATTAAATCACTACACCGGTAATTGGCATTGAAAAACATATAGCAGCCCTTCTGGAATACCCGCTATATAGAACTCAAACTCTAATCCATCCAAACATTTCATAAATAAAAAAAGCTATCCTACCTAGAGAAGGAACCGCAAAAGGATACCACCTAGCACTGGAGATGAACGGGCTAGCCACTCTACCTTAAATAAAATTAGTCAACGATATCAGCTTAACTCAGAAATGGTATGCAGACGATGGGAACGCAGTCGGAAATTTGAAAACACTGCGAACAGTTCTTGACAACAATATCAAACACGGAAAGTGTTTTGGATGTCATGTAAAGGCATCGAAAAGCCAGCTCATTAAAAAAGATGAAAAAAAACATTGAGGCGATAAAAGTATTCACATTTACAGAAAACAAAATGAAGAAAGGGCCTGAGTAGTTGGTTCTGCCATATGATTCCAGACAAATTGTAAAACTTTCTTAGAAGCTCAGTTAGAAAAACATAACAAAATACTGAAAAAACTTGGCAAGATTGCCAAAAACATCACCGCAAAACGTGTACTCCAGTTAAAAAAAAGGGTACACGAAAAATTATCCTTCTAGCTTGAACTACCACCAATGCCACAGAAATCATGCAGACCTACGAGAAGATACTGCAGGAAAGACCCATTCCAAGTTTAATTGGTTAAGATAATATAAGCCATCAAATTAGAGACATCGCTTCTTAGCTACTCAAAATGGGCGGTACAAATATCAAGCTATTTTCTGACAGTGCGAGTTTTCTTAGAATAGTCAATTGAAACAGCATCAGTCGTAGACACACACGACCCATTAACAGCTATACCTGAGCAAGAAAAATTTTAAACAAAATTTAAATAACTTAAAATTGAAAGAATAAATCAAAACAGAACGATCCATTTGAACAACTTGAGTGACAGCGCAAAATACGATACGGACTTGGGCTAGCCTCGGAAAAATGAATTTCAAACTTGTTAAGCGCACTGCCACTTAGCAGATATAATTTGAACCTCAATAGATCTGAATTCCGGGTTGGAATTTATTTCAGATATGGATGGGAACAACTCAACCTCCTACTCACATGTGCATGTGGGAAAATTTTTGACCTTAACCACGACATTCACTGTGCAAAGGGTCGATACGCGGACATGAGACATGAAGAAATCAGAGATGCTTTTGCCAAACGCATGAGCGAGGTTTGCTATGATGTTGAAATCGAGTCGAAAATTCAGTCGTTGCAAGGCGAGAGCTTTGTCAACAGTTCAACCACAATTGATGGAGACGCTCGACTATCAAAAAGAAAATTGATTATAGGGTTCAAGGTTTAGCCGAACTTTCATTGATGTCAAAGTCTTCAACCCGCAAAAAAATTTACGAAGATTACTGAAAGATGCCTATAAGTACCACGAAAAACTAAAAAAACTCGAGACAACAACAAAGAGTTCAACAAGTTGATCAAAGCAGCTTCTTACCGCTAATTGTTGGCTGCACTGGTGGTGCTGCACCAGCAGCTACGCGGACAGGGCAGTGCATTGCTGAAAATTTTAGTGAAAAAGGCATGAAAGCTACTCAGAAACAATAAACTATATTAGGCCTAAGTTAAGCTTCGCGCTGCTCAGGAGCGCTATTCCTTGTACACGGAGGTGCATATCATTGCGTAAGACGCAAGTCAGAGAAATTCAATTAGTGCTTTTATAGGGGAGGTACGGTTGAAGTAAATACCTTTAATGACAACGCATTAAATGCTGACTTGAGTTATTTCCTGCAATTTTGTTTATTGATGTATTTTCTCAATGCTAGTATGAGTCCTATTCAGCTTGTACACGACTGTATCTGAACGGAAGGGCCGCTTTCATAATTTACTTTTTTTCTTTTTTGTAAATAAAAATATGATGGATATTTTGGGTAAAATGTAACGATTTTACAATTAAAAGAATAGCACTAGATGTAGGAAAGACAGTGATAAAAATGTTAAAATACTGCAAGTGCACTGATGAAATTCGGGTCAAAAATGGAAACTCCGTCTTATAGAACTTTTACTGCCTCAATAGCATGCCATTGCTATTGAGGATGAAAAAGATCACTCATCGTGTTTGTTTTATTCAAGGCAAGCAATTATTTCATCAACTCTGTCAAGTTTCAGAATCACTCCATCAGTGGTTGCACCTTTTGTTTTATAAAAGTGAGCAGATTTCCGACAAAAATAAATTTTGTTCCGTAAACTGTCTCCTCATGGCGCAAAATTGTTCCCATTATCAAAAGCCACTGCCACTGCATCAACCCATTATTTGAAAAAATTTTCTCGTTTTCAACAGCTTTTCTCTTAAGCTTTGCATTACTATGTTTCGATATGCTTTTGCCACGCCGTATTTTTTCTGTAAAGTCTCACCAATAAGTTTTGGTTTTTGATTGAATAATTTATATAAAATTGTGATTAAAACGTATCAGCCAAAAGTGCGTTTTATTAAGCTTGTCTCTGAATGGATGCTTTGGGCCCGTTGACAGCATTTCATGTACCAATCCCGGCAATGTACATTTTATAGCATTCTCCAAGAAATAACACGGCAATGGAGGATTGAAAATGTGCTGACAACAAATCGGAAGTTAAATCTTCAACAGATAAAAAGTACATCTCTTTGACGCTGAAATGCCATACAAAAGATGTCAATGTGGAAGGAAAGAGGATCCTAATTATCAAATACATGCATTCAGACTCCTTTTAAGCAGCTTATTTTGAAACTATGGGTGCTTCCGATTAGTGCTGACGAATCTTTTCAAAGATAATGATTTCAAATGTTTCTCTTGCATATTTAGTGTTAATTTCGATATTGGCTACAACGATATCAAAAGAATTAGCAGGCGTTTTGTAAAGATTATCATCCAAATTGCCCGAAAGTTATAGAAATGGTCGAAGGGGTGACTATGCCTTGTGTACTTTAGATAAAGCTTACAAGCGAGCGGGTTGCCCACCTACTGACCTCTTCTTAAAATACAAAAATATATTTTTTTCATGCGTACTTCAATTGAAAATAACCCAATTGTTGTGATAAACTTATTAAATAGATTCTTCTTTGTCCAAATTTACCGCTGGCTTATATAGACACAAGGAGTGAGCAGATGGAACTACTCTTTAAAAACACCACAGGTTGAACCGTTCCCATCTTTCACTTTTTCGTTTTTTTTTAAACCCTCAGAAAACTATTTGATTCATTGCCCAACCATCCACCCATCTTTATGCTGAAGAGCTTTTCCGTTGCCTTCGCTGTCTGTGTTTCAGGTGGATTCCAGGCCTGAAACAGGCAAGGCGCATCCTTGAAATTTCAGGGATGCGCGTCCCTGAATTCCAGGCAAGGAGCCTCCCTGAATAATCACAGAAGCTTGTAATTGGCACATCAAGGACAAAAATATCAAACCAGCTCCAGTAAAACCTACAGTTCACTCTTACCGCAGCGTCATTTTAAGATCTGTATAAAACAGTTTTAGCATGCAAACCAAAGCGCCTTAATGCAGTAACCATTGTCGCCGGGTTCACTGATAGTAGGCTACACCATCGCAAAGTTGAGCTAAAGTGGAAAAACGTAATCAATCTAATTACAAACAAGTTTCAACCCAGAACTCCAATCAACCCTGAAACAATCCAAAGCTCCAAAAACTATGATTTTTTTCGCGAACTCTTCATTCATAAGCATGGGCTGATTAAATTATGTAACATTCGCCCGGAAGTACATATCGACGGAAAAAAAAGCTAGATTCTAAACCGACTGGCCAGCGTCTAAACACAGCTCTACATGCTTTTCACCGTATCTGCCAAAGCCAGTTCTTTTGGTGGTCTTTCTAACATCGGGTCTACAAAAAAAGTTACTGTTTCTGGCTTCGATCAGAACGCTCTAATTAACTTAATTACATGCAGAAATAGTGAGCTCATGGCTGGGTCTCAGTATCCCCTGTAACAGTCGCCTACTTCGGTCACATATGAGACTTAAGAAAAATAGGCCCTATAACCATAGGCTCAGGAGTCAGGGACACTATCTCTTGTGTTTTTCAACCTCAAAACGGTCGGAGCCAATTTGGTTTACTTGCGACATGAGACTAGAACCCATTACAGCTTAAAAGCCACTACCAAAATACCCCCCACTCTTGAAAATAAGAACGTCCCCATACTTAGGTCTCAAAATACCCAAAATACACGAACGCCGTTAAAAACAGGTTCGGAACAATCCGTTATGTTACTTTTTATTGGACAGTGGAACTTTGATCCATTTCAGATGGATCAACCTAAAACTCGCCTTATCTCAACATACTTATCACAAAATACACTCGGGAAAATTAAATTAGGTACTCACATAGCAGCACACTTGAGAATCAGAGTAATTAAGCTAATTAGTAACTCTAGCATAAATACGATTGAATACAACTCGAGAAGTTTGCTCTCAATGAATTCCAATCAAAGGAAATGAGTTTCATCTTGATAATATAATTTTGGGGTCTGAACCATTGGGAGACTTCAGTTGGCTACCTTTCCACTGAAGGTTCACTCTGGTTCAGCTGAATTTCGATTTTCTTTCGTAATCACTCTGTCTCCTATATCAAGATAGGACAGCTCTACTCTCGTGTTTTTTACTAGAATCTCGGAAATTGCGAATAGCAATTTCCCGCTGTTTTTTCTGCCATTTTCCCGCAATTGCGATTCGGTCGTTCTGATCTTATTTCTGATGTTCTCAGTTGTCGCTAGAAAGTTGAGCATGACAGGCTCAATTCGAATTTTTTAAAAGTTAAACTTCATCCCAAAACTACGTACTTCGTATTCCTCAAGGTCAAACTTCCAGATATGACCGAATGGCTCACCCAAACCTCAATGTCGCTCCTAAAAACAGGGCTACTACATATTTATCAAAATACTTTTGTTTTTGTTCAGTAGATAAAAATCATCATCTCCATCGAAGATGGATCAACCCTTTCCCTTAACTCCTAGCTTCTCATAGTCTTAAAACGAATTTAGATGTTATTTATTCAAATCAGGACATGACCAGAAGCTAAAAGTTCATAAAATAGAGTGTTACAGTTTTCTCCCGAGACCTCTACGAGTTCTGGAATCCGGGGCAAATAACACTCTTATTTCTTCTCGGAAGGCTGGACACATCGTCCCAATACCCTTCCTGATTATCTTGATTCGTGTTGTAACGATTGTAGCGGCACAATCGCTACAACTCTGACTGGTCTGATAGTCGTTTTTTATTTCAATCTCGATCTGTCTCACACAATTGTCGTTCACCGTTTTTCTCAACGAAATCTGTTGTTCTGTTTTTTTTGTTGCAGTTTTCAGTTGTCGAGAAATTTCGACGTCGTCGCGCGTCTTTCTTTTCCAACGAATTTTCAAAATTTAACATGTCAGTCCAAATTAACCATTCCACGTTCGTCAAAATGAACGATTAACACCGTTAATGTGCTAAAACCGCTAATTTTCCCGCCCGGCTGTCACAATAAAATTGGAATTCAAGCTTGCATTTTGATAATTTCTGGTCGAACGTCACATAAATTATTAACTTTGTTCATTCACACACACTCAATGTTTCGCCCAATCTTAACTAAAACCTAACCCCTCAAATGATCTGCCGAGATGGCATCTACTTCCCGTTCTTTGGTAAAGAATTCTTTAAAAATTTCCTTTCTGAAACTATTCCTAAGTTCTCTTGCTGATCTGAGGATACCATTCCTCCTTGTATACTGCCCGATCAAGCACATTGTAATATACTTAACAACCATTTAAGTGGCCGTGGAATTGGGTGCACAACATGCGCAACCTACAGGCATGCGAAATGCAGCGGCCTTAACCGAGGCAGCGACCATTATGACAGTTTCAGCTGCATTTGCTGCACCTCCTTGATTATAGACGACACTACATCTGACATCCATGTCCCTCCAACTCAACCTGAACAAACCCAATCGATCAACCATCAAAATCCTGCAATTACAAACGGCAACGAAACTGTAACAGCCTCACCAAGCCCATGGGCAAATCCTACACCTGAACTAAAAGTTCAAACAAGAACAATCTACACCCAAGTAGTGCACTGCAAACCAGTCTTCATGTTCCTCGCAACAAAAAAGAGTTGGGTTTAACTTTATAGAGACTCTAATTAGAACCCTCAACTCGTTAATTGAAACATATGCTGTAAAAACCAAATCGGAAAAGGATGGATTAAATCCAAAACTATAGCGAGAAGGATTAAGCAATGGCATAATGGCGAACTGGATGAACTTTTTAATGAGCTTGGTAAGGAATAAGAAAAAGAAAGTATACGTTGAAGCACATCAATTTAATAAATTTATGAGCACCGGAAAAATGTTGAGTGCTTTTGCTAAAATAACTGATGATGTCACGTCCAAGGGTGTTTTCTCACTCGAGGAAACCGTCAAAGGTCAAACTGTTGAGCAAACAATCATTGAAAAACATCTCTCACGGGACCAATAAACAACAACTCTGTAGCGGCATGCTCCGAAGATACAATACCTTTCCACAAATCCACATTCGACCAAATAAACGCCCAGAAGGATGGGAAGGCTACCATGTCAACACATGGTTCTCATGGACCCTCAGGCCTGGATGCAAATGAGCGGAGATGCATTTTAACGCACCTTGAACAACAGTCATTTGAAATATCAAAGACACTAACCAAAACTGCACAAAAATATCGACAGATTTACTAAGTCCTGAGCTTTTTGAACCATATAATGACTAGTTTCACATGATAAAAACCAAGGAGTTAGGCCAGTTGTCATAGGCGAAGTCATCAGCAGAATAATAGGTAGAATGATAACAAAGTGCTTAAAAAGCGAACTTATGGTACTCGGATCGATTCACCAACTATGCCTTGGTAAAAATGTTGCATCGAATATGCAAATCATACGCTTAGGAAGCAACAAGAGAAAACAGGTTCCGATGCAGTATTACTGATAGATGCGGAAAATGCTATTAAATCACTACACCGGTAATTGGCATTGAAAAACATATAGCAGCCCTTCTGGAATACCCGCTATATAGAACTCAAACTCTAATCCATCCAAACATTTCATAAATAAAAAATGCTATCCTACCTAGAGAAGGAACCGCAAAAGGATACCACCTAGCACTGGAGATGAACGGGCTAGCCACTCTACCTTAAATAAAATTAGTCAACGATATCAGCTTAACTCAGAAATGGTATGCAGACGATGGGAACGCAGTCGGAAATTTGAAAACACTGCGAACAGTTCTTGACAACAATATCAAACACGGAAAGTGTTTTGGATGTCATGTAAAGGCATCAAAAAGCCAGCTCATTAAAAAAGATGAAAAAAAACATTGAGGCGATAAAAGTATTCACATTTACAGAAAACAAAATGAAGAAAGGGCCTGAGTAGTTGGTTCTGCCATATGATTCCAGACAAATTGTAAAACTTTCTTAGAAGCTCAGTTAGAAAAACATAACAAAATACTGAAAAAACTTGGCAAGATTGCCAAAAACATCACCGCAAAACGTGTACTCCAGTTAAAAAAAAGGGTACACGAAAAATTATCCTTCTAGCTTGAACTACCACCAATGCCACAGAAATCATGCAGACCTGCGAGAAGATACTGCAGGAAAGACCCATTCCAAGTTTAATTGGTTAAGATAATATAAGCCATCAAATTAGAGACATCGCTTCTTAGCTACTCAAAATGGGCGGTACAAATATCAAGCTATTTTCTGACAGTGCGAGTTTTCTTAGAATAGTCAATTGAAACAGCATCAGTCGTAGACACACACGACCCATTAACAGCTATACCTGAGCAAGAAAAATTTTAAACAAAATTTAAATAACTTAAAATTGAAAGAATAAATCAAAACAGAACGATCCATTTGAACAACTTGAGTGACAGCGCAAAATACGATACGGACTTGGGCTAGCCTCGGAAAAATGAATTTCAAACTTGTTAAGCGCACTGCCACTTAGCAGATATAATTTGAACCTCAATAGATCTGAATTCCGGGTTGGAATTTATTTCAGATATGGATGGGAACAACTCAACCTCCTACTCACAT